CGTCCGGGGGCTCGCTAAGTACCCGGCCGTAGGGGAGGGAGCCGCAGCAGCCCTCGGGAGGGAAGGTGACAGCCCGGCAGCATGAAGTTCCAGTACAAGGAAGACCACCCGTTCGAGTACAGGAAAAAAGAAGGGGAGAAAATCAGGAAGAAATATCCCGACAGAGTCCCTGTGAGTGTGGGGTGTGAGGGCAGCGGCGGCGATTGCTGCTGGCCCGGCTTGCCTGGCAGAGCTCCTCGCTCTGCCGCCTTTGTTTTCCTTGTCGGCTATGTCGTCTGCTTCTTTATTTCGATGTTCTGATTCTCATTCCGGGCTGTTTTCCTCTTTAGCGCAAAGCTATGGCTATTTATTACGTGGGAAGGTCTGTGTTCGTGGGTGGGTGTGGGGGCGCCGGGGTGTAATACACCCTTTTTTCTGGGATCCGCAGTAACTCGACAGCGGGAATGCTGCTAATCTTTTTCTGGCAGCCTGCGTGCGTGGGGTTGGGGGGTGGGGAAGGAGCTTACCATTAGCTCTGTAAAAATGGAGGAGAACAATGAGTGAGTTAGCCGGGTACTCTTCATAGAAAACAAGGTCTGTATCCGTGTCATCTGATACTTTCCCTTTATTTTTATTTTACTTTCTTTTGGCCTGTCTTTTCGATGTAGTCCTGCTCTGTTCTTTTCCTTTGTATGAGAGAAAAATGATGCTTCTCAGTCTTTCTGCCCTCCTGTTTAATCATCCTGTGGAAAAAACGTCACTCGGAAAACAAGGTCATCTCCTAGCTAAACTTTGCTTCCTCATGCTTAGGTCCTTTTGGAGTGCCTGTGGAAAACTTCTAGCTTTATAATTACTAATAATAATTGGAAAAAAGAAATGACAAAACAAATTAATTGTGATTTTTTTTGGGGGGTTCCTTTTTAATAAACTTTCTGCAAATGTTCTTTCTTTCCATCCCCACTGGAGAGGTCTGTCCTAGATTTACTGCCCAGGGGTACTGCATGCAAAATAACTTAGACTCTCCTGTAAATCTAAGGGCACGGCAGAACAGTTACACCATGTTTTCCCTGCAGGCTAACACCATTTTTTATCTTGGGGGTGGCCCTCAACCGGACTTGCAAAAGTTTTTGGAAGTCAGTGTTTGGGTGCATTTGTCCTAGCTGTTTTTGGGACCCCTGGCATAGCACAGCAGGTTGAGCACGCAGCGAGTCAATGGTGAAGTGTGTGTGGTTCTGTGGTTTATGATGAGGACCGCAGAGGGCTCTGTAGGTCAGGAGCGAGACAAGCTGTAAACTGAGGATTAACTTGGCAGATTGTACAGCAGGTCATGATAGATGTGTCTGGAAGAGCCGTGTGGGGAGCCCAGGACCAGACCCGGTCTGGCAAGAGGTAAAAGAGGTCAAGATAGGGGGTCATCAGCAGATCTTTATGGAGAAAGCCAGGACCAGACTAACAAGGTGTGCTGTAGTTAAGGATAGATTAAAACGACGCATGGTGAGGCCCAGATGTGAATTTTTGGGGGTAGCCTGTTGTCAGAGCTGCATACGGAGCAAATGAATGCAGCAGACAACTGTTCTTTACATCCCTTGTGTCTCTGCCCTTCCCGACAGCAGGATCCTTGAAGATGACGTCCATTTGGCTGCCTACACTGCAGTGCCCTGATACATCTTAGCATTTTGCTGAGATTATACTGTTGGCATGCTCCCACGTTACCACAGTCACCGCCCAGTAACAACAGACATACAGATAATCTGTATCTGCCCTTTGGATTTTCTTTGTAGGTTTGTTTGTGTGTCTGAAGGGTTTAGTGCTTCAGAAGAGATACCTGTGTTATCAGGCAAACTGACTACAGTTGATAGTCAGATAGCAGAGCACCTCCATTCCTTTCCTGCCTCTTTGCAAGAGGGAGATCTCTCTTAAGCTCAGTGATGATCTGATTTAAATTTTTCCTAGGCCTTAGAAGCCCCAACACTCTCACCTCTTCCTCATTTTTTTCCTGTATTATCTAATGACCAAGCTACAAGCCACCCTTTTGAGTCAGGGTGGTCACATCAGTGCTGCTAGCTAGCAGTTCTGCTTGTCAGTAGTTTTTGAAATTGGAGGCAAGAACTAAAGGTTTCTCTCCGCTGCAATTTATTGTGTTAGATATTGCCTTGTTGGGTGTGCGGTTAAAAAAAGTGCAAAGTGCTGTTGCTGTTCAGCCTGCACCTGTTCAGTGGGATTGTGGAACTGTCCTTCCTTCACAGCACTTGCCAACTGCATCTTGTATGGAAATGCATTTCCTACCACTAACTGCCTGAAAGAGCTTGAATGCCTTGCACTAATTGAGGTGCTTGAAGTTCTTGCAGTAGCAGAGACAGCCATGTTTCTATTTTAAAAACAAACTTAGAATTTTCAGGGGGTTTGGCTGTGTTGGCAGCATCCAAATGGAGCACAGCGAAGAGATGTCCAAGCTAGCATTTCTGCGGTGTGACATGCTTTGCAGATACTGACTTGCGTCTAGAAGGAGTCGAGTTGAATTAGCATGGCACTTTGTCCAGACTAAATACAACAAGCTCATCATGGTAACTTTTTTTCCTCTGGCATAGTGTCTGACTGATGTGACAACACCATTTTGTTTCCAAAGAAGGCTTAGTTCACAGCAGTTCAGCCTTTTCAGTTACACAACAGATACAGTTGCTGATTTGGGTTGCCACAGAGCTAAGGAAGCATGGAGCCCTTAGAAATTAGTTCCACAGTGTCTCACATGGAGTATTTATAATTATAGGGTCTAACGGAATTAAAAAGTTGAGGAGGTTCAGAAAATCCAGCTTCTTGTTTAGATCGTCAAAATGGCTTCTGCAGAACAGCAGATTGAATCATGTAATATACCTCTTACCAGTTCAAAAATACGTATCACAAAAAAAAACCCCAAAACTGCCTTCAATTTTTTTTCTGCACAAACCCAGTAGTTTCATGGAAACATACCTCCAACCTCTGGAAGGGTTTCCAAGGCTTTTCATGGAAGGAGATGAGGTAACTTTGAAATACTTCCTGCTTCTGAGGTGAACATTTTGCCTAGCTCTGGTAACAAAAATTTTCCTGTAGCAGAAGATCTCTTTGTCTGTTAGACCTTAAAGCTGCTGAGCTTCATATTTTTCTATGTCATAATGACATTAGAATATGAAGAGGATTAGTATTTTGTGTCAAAAGTCTCTGTGGGTCCAGTTGCCCAGATGGTAGCCTGTTTTTTAATTATTAGATATTGATATGAATAAGGAAATGTCCATAACTATATGAATTAGGGAAAATACCCTTAAAGGGTGTGAATTTCAGAGTAGAAGATAACTGCTGAAGAACTGGGGATTAAAAAAAGAAAACTATTCCCCAATGAGCTGTAGTTTCTCTTTAATACTTTGCTTCATTCTAGAGCACTTGGTATTGGTGAATGTAGAAATTAGGATGTGGGACTACTGGGAGTAGGGCTGATTTTGTGCTAGGCAGTTTGGAACTGTAACCTGGAAACAGTTCAACTTACTTGTGATACTTCTTGTGTTCATGTATTAGCCTTCTGGCAGCTCCTCCATACAAAATTAAACTGCATTGGGCCCATCAAGGTGACCTGATTTTTTTTTTCTCGGCTATTATGGTTTATTTTTATGTCTGTTCCAGTCTCCATTTTTTACTCACTGTGCTTACTGCTGCAGTCTTGGGCTCCCGGCACAGCTATTGCCAGTGATTTTAAGTCTTCTGCTCACCTATCTGTTCTTCAATGCGTGTATTTGTAATAGATTAAATAAATTTCTAAAGGCCTGGTAGCACCACCTCTCTCAAAGGGTAATATCCTTTTCCACTGATGCTTTTTGGTCCATTTCATTTTATGATACTCATGGCTTGTTTCTTGCTTTCTCTTACTCTCTCTCTCCAGGTAATTGTGGAAAAAGCACCAAAAGCCAGAGTACCTGACCTAGACAAAAGGAAGTATCTTGTGCCTTCTGACCTCACAGGTAACAAAGTCTACCTCCTTTCTTCCTGATTTTTGGTGAGAACGTCTCAGAAGTGCTTTTTACTCTATGATCAGCACCAAGAAAATATCCAGGCAGGCTCAACATCTTATCATTATCCCAGTTTACCTGGCTGTCCTTGTTATATTTATGTACCTTACGGCCTGGATTACAACATGCAGAATTTTCTGAGATCTTCTGAGGTATCCCCCTGACTTAGCTAACATGCATGTGTCACAGCTGACTTCTAGCCATGATGAAAATGACTGAATTGTGTATCATAGGCAGTAGCATCATCATCAGTCAATGATGACCTAGCTGCAGAGTTGCCAGAGGCTGTATCCTTGCTGCAGGAAGAGACAAGTTCTTGAAATAGTCCCATCATTTTCCACCCCTGTGGTTGGAGTCATGGCTACAAAGTTCCTTTTCCGAATGGTCATGGCCATTTTGTGTGTGATTACATTTGTTTTCATTTGGGAAGGTGAATGAGTTAAAGGAACAGCATTTCTTTTTCTCGCAGTATATAATAGATTGTGGAATTCCTTCTTGTGCAACGTAGCTCAAGCAAATAGTAAGGAATTTGTTTTCAAGAATTTGTTCCCAGGAATGTTATAACTATTTAAACCAAGGCTCAATTCTCTAAGGTGGCTTTGATCTATAGGATTTAAAGGTTAAGCTAGTTAGAGGTCTTCCCACCAATCCCCACAGTAGAGCATTTCATACCATAGTAGGTGGAGCGTGGATTTAGAGGGTACATGGCCTGAGGCATGTACCTGAGAAACTGCCAGCTCTGAGTGGATTGGTTGCTAATGTGGTTACAATCACGAAGTTACTGCTTTCTTTCCTGCATTGTTCATTTTTCCCTACTTTTTACATACAGCATGTGACGTCCACCACCAAAAGAAAACACCTGGTTAGGGTAAAAAAGAAAAAAAAAAAAACAAACCAAAACGTTCTTTCTGCATCTAAGGCATTCTCCTCTGTTCCTCTTCAGTTGGCCAATTCTACTTCTTAATCCGAAAGCGGATCCACCTGAGGCCAGAAGATGCCCTGTTCTTCTTTGTCAATAATACCATCCCTCCCACCAGTGCTACTATGGGCCAGCTGTATGAGGTAAGCCTGGCCCATCTCTTTCTCCTTTTGTTGGAGTGTCCAGAAGAATGCATATCCTCACTGAAGGACAACTGAGCACTACTCAACTGGCAGTGGGTGCGGCTTGGTCACAGATGCCTGAACACAGACCCCCTTGGCCTGGGCTGTATCCCATCATCTGTTGAGGGAAGTTCCATCCTGCCCGGGATGAGGAGCCCGGGGAGCCTCATCATTTTAATTGTTTGTTTGCTAGTTGAAAGGGTTGTCGTATCAGGTGGTGAATAGCTGCCCCAGCAGTGATATGTTGGTCTACTACTTCCACAAAGTATGGAAATAAATTACATATTTTTCAGAGGAAATACTGTGTCTGGGGCAGAGGGTGGAATATACGCACCAGCTTTCCTGTTTATACAAAAGAGGTTTCCTTTTAGCCAGTAAAAGAACACAGTATCACTGGGCAACCGTCTATAAATACATTGTCAACGAACACTTATTCTTTGTTCAGAATTACTTTTTCATAGCTTGTACTGTATATGTGAGGATCTTGTAGGACACTGTGGACATTGCTGCCCAGCATTTCTACTGAGCAGTGTTATTTGATCGACCTTAAAGGCATATTCTGTGCCTATCAGAGGAATGTTCCTCAGTTATATAGCCATTATATCATGGCTGGTTTGCAGCCTGGATTGATTTCTCCTTGATTTCTCCTTCTGCTGTGTTAGTGTGTTTTAATAGGAGAGCTCCAGTATGGTGCTATGAGCCTTATTTGACCTATCACTTCTTGACAATAACTGGACAATGTGTATGTAGACTGATGAAGATAATATAAGATTAACACACGCAGGGAGTTTTCCAAATCTGGACATGTAGGAGGAAGGTATGTCTTAACTGTCCAAAGCTGAGATCAGGACTCTGATCCTGGCGCTCTGCAGACTTTTTGTGTCAGTGGAATCACTTAACATCTCAGCTTTACTGCCCATATGTAAAACAGGACTAGAAATACAGCCACTTGTCAAAGTGTTCTGAAAAATGACAAGTATAACCACATTTACCAAATACTGAAATATCAAGAGGTGATTTTTGACTTGTGAAAGCCTTCTAAGTCTCTCCTCTTGATCTTAAGGCCATACCAGCGCTGGGATTCTGCTGCACAGCCTGCAACAGTCAGAGCTGTTTCTGTTGCGTGTTTGCAGCACACTCTGGCTGTGGCTCTTCAGGTAAATTCACTGTGTCCAGAAATGTGACATGCCTGAATTTAGAAGTAGAGCTGTGGCCAGAGAGAGGAAGTTGCCGTACGCTCTCTTTGGTATAAGGAAGTGAAGCCTTCGATGTAAAGGGGGAGAAACAGTGAAAGAGAGGTTATGCCCTCTTATTGTTACAATGGTCTCTTGGTTGGGCTTTTTCACATGTAATGAGTTACAGTGCTCTGGTTTGTTGCTTTCTCCCTTTCTCCCCTTGCAGGATAACCACGAGGAGGACTATTTTCTCTATGTGGCCTACAGCGATGAGAGCGTCTATGGCAAGTGAGCACCAGCCCCCCAGGCATGCAGGCGAGATGGACTGATGGAATGGATTTGGGGGGGGGATGTTGGAGAAGAGGAAGGAGAATGCCTGAGAAGAGGGGAAGAGAACTGGAAGTGAACCACATGCACAATGCCATCACCTTCCATGCATTAATTATAACCATTATTTTTTAAGTTGAGGGGAGGGAGAGTAGGGGGATAGTGTATGAAAGGGTGAACTGAAAGGCTAAAGAGGGATTCTGTGCTGAGGGATGTGGAGACTCCACTGTTCATAGTTCTTCTCTTGCTACAGCTGGAAGTAGTTAGCCAGTACTGGAGGCTGCTAGACAAGCCAGTGTGGTGGAGTTCCAGGAGAGTGACCGGGCATGATGGCCATTTTTGTGTAACCCTTTCATTGGATGAAGAAGGCATGCCATGTATTGTACACTGACCTTGTCACACCTTGCCCATGGCATGGGCTGCACTCCTGTGAGCATTCAGTGAGCTGTGAAATACTTCACTCTGTCCACACAAGGCTGTCCTGTGCTGACAGTCCTCACTCCAGCTGCTACCTGTGAAGCGTTTCAAGAGTATTGTGTTTCCCGTCACTTCCATCAGTATTAGAAGGGCTAACTCTGAGGGCTGGGAACTCTTCAGCTGTGAGACGTGAAGATTGGGGAAAAGAAGGAAGGATTTTATTTTTTTCCTTTGTTGCTTTAATTGCAAATGCTGGGCAGAAAAATTTGAGACGACCCTTTTGTTCTTTTCAGTGAAGCCAACTGATAAACTCATAAGCATAGGGCTAGAAAGGACCTCAAGAGAATGTCTAGCCCACTCCAGCTCTGAGACAGGCCTGAGTATACCAAACATGTCCACCATAGCTGCTTATCTAACTTGTTCACAGTGAACTTCACTGAGGCAGATCCTGGAGGCTGCTGAGATTGTCTGTTCAGTTCCTAGCTAGCCTACAAGTGAGAGAGCTTTTCTTGCTACCTAACTTTAGTCTCCCTTGCTGTGCATTAAGGCAACTAGCCACTAATGGTCTTGTTGCTGGTGAACACAGAAAATTACCTATCAGTGTTGTTTTTGTACCAATCTTCTGCAGAACTGAGGATGGCAGAAGTCCTGTGGGTTTAGCCTTCCCTTCCATGTCTCATCGCTGTACAGCTCTTGCACCACATGCACAAGCGGAAGAAATCAGTCGCTCCCACGTGTGTTTTGCTGGCTTTTTGTGATTGGACAACAGTGCCACTCTTCACCACAAGAGAGGTCCTTTTAGACTTGAAGGGGAAGGGGAATAGATTCTCTGTAGATTATTTTTTTTAAATTATTTTATTTTAAGCCAGTGTTGTTCTTAGAAAGGTGCCAGGTAGATGCTGTCCTGTGCAAGCCTTATGCTGTCATGCCAAAGCAGTTTCTTCCCTGTGGCACAAACAGCAGATTGTCCCATAACTGCCATAACTCTGATGAAGGGATGGGGTTTGGGGAGTGAGCTTTCAGGAAAATTCTGGGATTTTATCTAAAAATCAGAGAACTGGACCTGAATTACTGTAAACATTCCTACATTTAAGGGAGGGACCAAGAGGGAGGAAAAGACAAGAAGGATGAAGAAGACAGGCAGATTCTAAAACAAGTTGAGGGTGTTTGCTCTATTTACATGAAGTTAGATCCCAGTTCTCTGCATTCCTCAGGAATGAGAAATCAAGATGAGTGCTCCTCTGATTGTGGGAGACAGGAAATCAGGTTTCAGCCTTCTCTGACAGTTGTTCCACAGAGGTACATGAGGCAGAAGAGCAGGCTGGGAGTGTGAAGTGGGAGTCACTGGCAGAACTGTGTAAAGGTCAGGGAAGGCAGCGTAGTGGGGCAGGAGGGTCACTGCCTGTGTGGTATGGGAAGTAGCAGAAGAATGGAAGAGAAAGGAGGGAGCGCAAAGGATGTAGACAGAGGAGTCCTAACGGGCAGACAGAAAATGGGGAAACAAAGGATGAAATGAGTGGGTTAGTATTCCCCAGTTTTTCATCCTGAACTTCAGTTTGCTGTTCCATCATGTGCTCATCTGGAATAAATGCATTTGGATGAGTTGTACCTACTGCCAACTTAGATAACTTCAGTTTCTACCCACAGTGCTCAGTCGTCTCTTTTCGGCCCACTCTCCTCCAATTACCAGATTCTTTTCAATCCTTTAGGTGCAAATCCACATCAGTCTCTTGTTTTAGGAAGCTCTGAATGTTCTGAAGCAGAGAACAGACCCAGGAGACTTTCTAGGGTGAAAGACAAGATGCAGGCAGTTGGTATGCATCTCTCTGCCACTGTCCCACTTGCTCACACACGTGCTGCCAAGAACGTGGTTGTGTGTTGTCTCTAATGAGCCTGTGCTTAGGCACACTCAGGGGAGAAAGAGTTGGCATCTGGGGTGCTTGGTTTTGTGTTCAGACCTCCCCTCCCCTCCCGCTGCTGGGTTTATAAGTGATATGTGTGGGACTAATCTCAGCCGTTTGTTACATGTAGGGTTTACAGTTTAATTTAGTTATTTTATGGTTCTTTTAACTGGATTGTGACATTTACTTCTGTTTTTGCGCTAGTCCGGTATTGTACGAGGTAATGATGGTAGTTCTTTTTTGTGTTGGTTAGCTGCAGGTTCTTGTAAAATAAAGTTCATACTACTTGAGCTAAATCAACCAATCAATAAAGACGCATTTGAAAATCACAGGCTTGGTCCAAAATGGGTGACTGTAGCATTTCTCCCCACATGTGTGCGTGTAAATAAAGGCGCAGCTTTGTCAGAACTTCTTGCTGCTACTTTTTCCCAGAACCTCAGATTTCCTCTGTCCTGTCTACCAGGACAAGTCACATCTCTCCTTTTTTTGGTTATATTGTCACACACACACACGGCTGTGTCTTGCCGTGCCACCAATGTGAACTTTAATTAGACCTGGATGACATGAGAAGGTCTTAAGGAGCGTAATGGATGCACTGAGGCATTCTCTGCCATTTTAAGGCCCTGAACAGTCCTAGCCAGCTGACGGGGCCTCGAGGGCACCACCAGCCCTGACTGTCCCTGCCCAGCCCCCCAGGGCCACCCCCCCCCTGCCCATGGCCCAGGACCCCATCGCAGACCCCCAGGGCCATCAGCCCCTGCCCCAGCGATGCCGCAGCAGGGTTGGTCTCCAGCTCCCACAGCCATGGCCTGCCTGGCCATGAGCCACGCCGAGCCAGGCCCACAGGGCCCAGCCTCAGCCCATCCCTGTCCCCACAGCCCTGCCATCACTGGGCCTGATCCTGACCCTAACCTGCAGATGGGATTCCCATCTTGACCCACCTCATCACCATGATGAGCCTTATGGTCGGGGCTTGTGGCTGGGCCTGGCCACTGTCCCCAGGCCTGCCCTGCTCCCCACATCAGGTGCTGTAGGATGGGTCGCGTGGTGCCCTGCCAGCCATGCCCCTCAGGGAGCCGCTAGCCCTCACTGTCTCGTGACAGCTCAGGTTGAGGTGGGACTCCCAGCCGTGGGCAGAGGGTGTGGGGGAGGCCCCAGGGAGGCCCCTAGGTGCCTCTAAAGATAGTAAAAGCAGAGAGAAATCTAGGACTCGTTGAAAAGTAAGCCTGCAGTGGCGGCAGATCTAGGCTGCTTTTCTTTGCAGATAGTTGTGTGCTGAGAGGGAAGGAGCCCTGCTGGGAGCTGGTGAGACCAGCGGGTGCCATTTGCTCAGCGCCATAACTCCGTGTCAGGCACTGGTGACACATGAGGAGGAAAGGGATGCATGATGTCATGTGGATAAGTGGCAAGAGACGTGCCGCTTCTTCCGCCTCCTCACTCCTCCTCGTCACCTGCAGGATTGTGCGGGTGCCGCTGGCCGGAGCGGCAGAAACAGGCTGTGCCGATGCTGCGGAGGAGCCACCATCAGCTCTCGCCCTGCTGAACACTGAGCAAGAGAGTTGCTTGGAGCGCTGAAGTCAAGAGTTAACGACACTGAAACTTACAGGAATAAAACTTGCTAGGCCTAATGGATCTTCTCTTCCCCGCTGCATACAGGATGGAGCCACAGTGTGAGCTTTTGTTGCTAGTGCTGAGGGAGAGGCAGTAATTCATCCTGCAGCCTGTAAACTCGGAGCCTGCCCATAGCAGCGGTTTCTGTGCTCATATCCACCGTCGTGACTAAAACAAGCTCCCCCTGTATGGCAGAAGGGTGCTGTGACTCCAGCCAGATAGGCAGAGATCAGCTAAAAGCTTACACTATCAACCGAAATAATTTGAATTTCAGCTTCAAACATAGTGCATGTTTTGCTGTCTAGGTTGTGGTATTGTCTGCTGGCTCAAGTAGAAAATGGCTATGGAGTTGTATCCATACCCAAGCAGGCCTCTCCCACTCCCCCTCTCACCCCTTTCCTAGGAAAATGGTGCATCAGTGGTGTTTGTACCTGCCATGCTGCTTTGCATGTGCATATCAGTGCCATCATTGAGAGAAACAGCAGGCGGGCACATTTGCTGAATGTGATTTGCCTGGTCCATATGTGAAATGTTAGCCTGTGCTCAAAGACTGTCACCTTTATTCTGTGGGTTATGGAAATGGGACTGGAGCAAGGCCTGCGGGAAAACTAGGGGATCAGCTGGTTAAGAGAGGTTAAGTAATTAATACTCTGCCTTGGTCACTATCACTGCACCTGGGATCCTCTCTCCAGTCATCCTGATGCTTGCTTTGGAAGAAAACATTCTCCTGGAGCAGAGAGTACCTAAGGAAAAAGGTGGCCTGGGGCATTAGGGCCTCACAACATCACCGTGAAAGAATTCTGAGGCTAACATAACAGGTCCCAAATTATGCTAAAGACTGATGTTTTCACTTCTATAGAACAGTCATGTCCGAGATGAAAGAAACACTGATTAAAACAGAAATAAGACTACTGGAGGGAGAAACTCTAGCTCATTCCTGTCACTCAATCTCAGATAAATGCTCCCCCAGGATGAGCCACAGAGTGTGACTAGAGAGCTCATTGCTGGCAGGGCACTTGCAGGACTGACCCAGGCAGAGTACAGCTGACCATGAACAGCAGCTGTCCCAGCTTGTGCTGCCAATCTTTAGGAGGATGTTGCAAGTCCCATGGTATTTGTGTTCCTGGAAGCTTGCATGCGTCCCAAAGCACAGCTCATGCCTGGGTATACATGTGTTTCAGGAATTAGTTAATATTCTCCTGAAAAAGCTGGATCTTGCAGCACCTTTCTGTAAAGTAAGGGTCTGATTCTCCCTGATTTTGCACTCTGGCCAATGTCATCTGGATATTGTATTGTTCTTTGGGAATTCAAAATTGTTAATAAATGCTATAAATAGTGATAGGTGGAAGCAGCAGGAGAACATAAAGATCCTAATTTTCAAGTGAGGGCATTGCTAGAACTGCAGTAAGGTTGAATGTACTGGATTATTAGCTGAAGGAAAAACTGATCTGATTCTACGTCCTGCACCTTATGCTGGAAATACCACACCATGCTCACCCTAGACACACTTGTACACACACGTGCACCTTTTCCGCCACACCTCACACCACATTAAACACACTTAGAATACAGTTCAACTCCCCACATAGGTAGCACGTATGAAAACCACTGTGGAAAGGAAAGAAAAAGGAAGACGCACGCACACACCAAAAATGACACTTTACAGGCCTGAAGTACAGCCACTCCATCAAATCTAGTGTATCCAGGCAATGAAGAAAGAAATACAGCAAAATATATGCCTGTGCACACTGGTTTTCACCTAGCCCTTAGGATGATGGACAAACATACATTGTGTGCTAACATGTATTCAGTGCAACTGGAGCCAACAACCACGTGGCAAAAATGGCCACTGAGAAGTGGAAAACAACAGGGAAACACAGGATGGAAAAAATGCACAGGGTAATAATACACAGTCATGGGCTTCAGGTGATTACAGAAAAGTTTGCAAGGGTAAAACTAGGAGTGAAAAAGGAACCTGGAGCGCTCAGAAAAGGTACCACAGTCTACACCCACTAAACTGCCTCTTATCTATGGAGTGCAAAGGATGCCAAGAAAGCATCAGGTTATAGGAAACCTTGGAGGAAAGGAGTCCACTACCTACAGCCATATTTCAGGGGTGAAGAAACAGCAGTCCCTCTTTCTTCTATCCTTTGCAATTGAAGGTGAAAATTAGAAGCTGGAAAAGCAGGACCCTTCTGACTAGGACTGGATTGGATTGGGAGAATAGGAGGGAGGTAAAACTGGAGTATCAGCAGTTTGTGGAGTGCAGATGAAGGTAGTACACTGGCAGAGCAAGGTGCGGGAGGAGAGCAAGAACAGACCAGTGAAAGGGCTGCAGGATATGAGTGAACCTGGCAGAATTGTGTGGGAAGCCTACAAGGTGCGGGAGGAGAGCAAGAACAGACTAGTGAAAGGGCTGCAGGATATGAGTGAAGAGTGAACCTGGCAGAATTGCGTGGGAAGCCCAGCACTGGAATAACACAGTGGCTCCAAGGCAGGAGTGAAAAGATACAGACAGCTTAAACTAATGCCAAAGGTATTGCAGAAAAAGCTCCTCCTAGATCAGGTGTGTGGTGGCTCCAACAGGTACCTGTGCATTCAGACTGCTGTCACTACCAGTAGAACTGCAGCTGCATGTAGGGCTCATTCGCAGAGCTGAGTATCTGGTGAGGCCGTGGTTATTTACCTACATATCTCTCTATCTAGTCCTTTTGTGCATAGTCATTACAGTAGCCATCTGAGCTCCCTGTGACCATTGTGCTACCTCAGTGTTATCAATTAACCTCTTCGACAGTGGGGGGACAGGGGTATGGGATGGATTAAATGCCCTTGCCTGACATCACACAGGAAATCTGCGGAGTGAACAGTTAGCACGGGGATGGTCCCTTTTCTTAAGAGCTATTCTGAGCTCAAGAGCAAAATAAGCATATAGTTAAAGGAGTCGTAACACCATCCAGATATGAAGGGCAATAGTGTTAAATATTTAGGAGAGAACAACTAGAAGACAATGGGCAAAACAAGCCTTCTAGAATGAGAGCCAAGAAAGGCAGGAGTCAAGCTGCAATGCACTATGTAAGAATGTACATAAAAAAGATGGAGAAGATGCCAATACAGATTAGAATCTGAAATAAGTATTTTTCCATTTTACTGTGCTTGTTCAGATGTAACATTGGAATATTTCAGGTCTCACTCACAGTTCATTTGTTCCAAGGGGAATACAACAGAAAATGAGCAGTGACAGGTCTGATCATATTTCATTAGTTTGCATTTTATTACTTCACACTTATATAACAAGTCCTATATGACAGTCTCAGTCCTTTCAAAAATACTCATCTATTCAGCCTCACAGCGGCCCAGTGGGGTAGCTCTTACTGTCTCCAGCCTGCTGCTGGGGAAATTGAGGTGCAAAGATGTGGGCTGGCTTGCCTCAAAGCCACACAACAAATCAGAAGCAGAGTTAGAAAAAAAGCCTTGTCCCCCTGATCTCTAGCACCTCTAATAACAGGATTATACTCATTAAACACTAAAATTTGAAATGTGGATTCTGTATATTTGTATTATCTTTCATTAATGAAAGAAACCCCTCATTATCTTTGGGAACACAGCATCGTAACATTTAGATGTTCTGCCATTTGTGGACTGGAAAAGCTCTGATTTCTTTCCCAGAACCGGCAACAAGAAGGTAGCTCCTACTCTTGACATACTGCCAAGAAAACACT